TAATTAAGACTAGTCTAAAAAAGAGAAAACACTCAGAAAACAGTCAAGATTTAGCACAATTTATTGTTAAGTATTTGAAACATTGTCCCAAAAATATTGCGTTTAATTCATTATACGGCTAATCATGCATATCCCTAGTATTGGCATCATGATATTAATTATACAATACCAAGCTCTTGTAATAAGACAAGTCACTGCTCCATACAGTATCTTTCTTTGTCAGCCTTTTTATATTTATTTTGTTTATTAAGTTAACTGAGCTTGATTTCGCACCAGTCCAGTTGAACCAGCTTGAGCCAAACCCACTTTTAGAGGACAGACGACTCCCGTCAGGAAGTCGGCAACTGTCTTCAATTGTCTGAAGCCCTGAGTCATCGTCTTCATGATTTCCACCAGATTAATGGCACCATCTAATTGCACGCTCACTAAACTCCCAGTGCCTCAATAAAAAATGTAATAAAAGGGAGAGATGTTTAAATACATTTTGTGAAAGATGTCTTTCACCTCTCAGGGGTCTTCTTCTTTAGTGAATGGAGCTGGCTAAGCTGGAGCACCAATGTTAAACACTTATTTTATTGTAGGTTTAAAGATGGTCTCTGGCAAGGGATTTGAATGACATCCTTGATTTTGACTTTGACCCTTTCACAGTCGGTGCTCTGACTAGTTGGTGTCACAAACACTCCATTGGCTAAGAAATACTTTTCTACACATGCTGTTCCCAAATGTCAAAAATGAACTCAGAGTTAGTGAAGTTATCTTGGACTGTGATGAGAAACCTGCTCACACAGTAAAGCATGGTAGAGTTTTCTCTCTATTCTGTCGTAGAAGTGCGGCCAGTTCTCTCAGTAAAATATGTTGTTATAGGACCGTAATGTGTAGTTCATTGTTTAATTGTGAGGTCTGAAACACGTACCAGTCAGTTCATGTTTAAATTGTCAGTGTTTAATGCCAGTATTGTAGGATCTGTTTGAAATGATCAGAGATGTTTCCTCTACTGCACTGAAGAGCTCAGGATTCAGAATAACACCCCTCCCCATGAGAATCGGATATGAAACGACCTCAGCCCTGTCAGGTGCAATCATCCCTCATCCCTTGCATGTTAAGGCATCTGAACAGAGCAGACGCTGCAGGCCCTCCTGTCTGTGAAAGCACTGGCTTTCCTGAGGAGAGACAGTGGCATCCTGTCTCGAGGCTCAGCGCTTGTCAGTGATCGTTTTGTATTCCTGAAGAGCCGTGGACTCCCAGAACTTGACTTCCTGTCTCCCATGCATGCCCCACCACTGCTGTGTTTTACCAGAGAAGCGGGACCCTGTGTTTTGAAAGTGTGAGCTTTCATTGCCTCCTGTGTCGCCTTTTGACGATTCACTGGGTGCTGACTCGCTAACTCTGCGGGTGCTGAGGGTGGTGGGGGTGTGTTCCTGAGGGAGGGTATAATAAGAGCAGAGGGGAGGACAGGAAGTCTCTGAAAGACTGCTGGCTAAAATGGATAAGTTATGTGCAAGATGGATGGAAGGCTTTTATAGTAAACGCACATTAAACACAAGTGCAGAGTATGAGATAAATTTGATTGGTTCTTTTTTAGATTTGAACCAGTGTCTGAACATTGTGTTTGATTAAAAAAGAGTAAAAATAATTTCCATGTTTTGTAAGCTTACTTTTCTCTAATTAAGTGCTGTTACTCTCAGGGCCCTGACACACTAAGGCAACAGTTGGCCTTATGTTGCCTGAATTTATGTGGTTGTGTCCTCCACCGTTGGCGCTAGTTGGCCCTTGTTGGTCCTTGTCAGCTGTCGGGCAGATTCAGCATGTTGAATTGAGGGCGGAACCCATTGGTGAATAAAATCACTCTGATCGAAAGTTCAGCTTAGTGCACACGTAGAGAAAAAAAGGAAGTGAGGAAAGCAAACAAATGGCTAGAGTCAAGAGAGCATAACGAACTTGTTCTGTTTAGTAAGATAATGTTCTTAGCCACTGTTTGCTTTAGCAGAAATGTACAGTAAACATTGTTTGTTCTTTTAACATTGGGTTGTGTTGGTTATGTGCTAACTAGCGTCTTGAATCCATGCTGTTGGTCTTCTGGTTTCCCTTCTTGAATGACGAATAAAGACTATTGCTGCGTATAAATTGGACTCATGAGCTCATATTTATGATGTGGGAAGTCGTGAACACGAACTAGTGAAATCGCAACTCTCCAAAAATTTCCATTTAAGAGGTTGTGAATACCACGAGGGGCCTTCATATGGACTCTTCTTATGAACACGATAAACACAACCCCATATGAATGTAGCATGGTGTGGAGAATTATTTCATCTCACAGAGGTGTAGAACATACATGCTCGTTGACCTTTAGCTGTAGTCTTTGCGGTGCTTTCAAGTGCAGCTTTTTGGCCAAGATTACGTTTTGGTGAGCCTCCATCTTGAAGTGACTATAATAAATACTCTTTCGTTGCACATTTTCAGCCTCAGCAGGCCGCTGTTTTCGGGATACACCCTCTAAAAACTCACTGACGCTATCCTCTCAGCTTGAAATTGCAGACAGACACAAGCCCCTTTTACACTGCCAGATTTTCCGCGAATGTTGGGCCGTTTTGCCAGCAAGCTGTGAGCGTTTAGACACACAGAGTCGGATTGGCGAGTTGATCCGAGGAGCCCAATTTTCCGCCTCATAGGGTAGACATATTGGCGGAACCCTTTTAGTTTAAACAGACCGAGGCGGCCCTCTGCAACGGGAGGGGCTGTTGAAGACTTGTGGGAGGAGCTGTTCATGATGCCGCATGTGCGAGCCACTGGTGGTGGATAAACAAGAAACAGCTGATAGCAGGAATTAGCGAGCAGCTAGTAGCAAGAGGGAAATGGAAACCTGACAGACACTGTAAAGATGAGCAACTGGGGAGATAAGGAATTGTGCGCCCTCCTTGCCCTCGCAAACAAAGAGGCCATTAACCGTCAGATGACGAGAACAGTAAAGAACGGGCCAACTTACGAGAGAAACGCCAAAGGACTGACCAGCCGTGGTTTCCCTCCCACGTCACTGGTTACGTCACACACTGAGCTACACGTTTTGTTACTTGCTCACGCCCCCCATTGCCCTGAAAAAGGTACATTCTGTATCAACAAAAGTAGGTAGGCGCTAGGGATGGGTCACGATTTTCGAATTTCGAATAGTCGTTTTATTTTTGAAAAATCGATTTTTTTAATGCGACTATTACTATTCGCCGTTTTATTTCCCCCCTTTATTTGACATGCAATTCAGCTCCTAACCGCACGAGGGCAGTATAGGATTGCTACAGCGGTGTGAGATGGGCTACCAGCTAGTTTGATGCTCTTCTACAAACAGGAGAAACATGCAGAGACTGCTACTCTGCGAGGAATGTCCACAGTCATTCGGGCTTTCATAGTCGAGCGCACTTCCGCGTTGTAGTTTCCTGTAAAAATGTCCGAGCTTTGCGCGCACAGGGCTTGCGGATGTCCGCTTTGAGTCTGCACGGACCTCCGTGGAGTCCGTTCCGCGTACGTTCCGCCCGAGTATGTTTGGGCATTTAATGAATGAATCTCTATGTGCGTGGCTCCCAGGGGGTTAGCAACTAGCTGGAGAACATAGAGGGACATTACGTGGCTGAAGAGCCAGATTTGGTGAGTTGGTGGAGACCAAAACGGAGCGAAAAGAAGAGTCAGTGTTGGACTTGAATTCACCAGTTTGTGCCTATGTTGTTCCTTGTCTGTTTGATGTGTAAATAAGCAAATGTTTGCTAACATTGATACTTTATCAACCTAAAGGTGATACATCAGTTATGTTTCCTCAACGGGCTAAAACAAATCTGTCACTGCAGGTTTTATATACATTACACTTGATTTTGTGAATAGCTGATACAAGATTGAAAAAACTTCAAAAGAATATAATTCACTTTACTCTCAGTAAGACTTAATGTGGAACCAAGTACTTAAGAACAAACACTCAGTTGTCTCACTAAGTTTTTTAAATGTAATATGTGGGTCTGATTAGCGCCACATAATCACCAGTAATCCATCATAATGTCTGTCGTCATTTTTAGCTCTTTTCCACTCCGCTCCTCTGGGGTTCTTTTCTGTGGCTGCAGCCAGATTTCACAAGAAACTAATTAGCATCTGCATCCTGAAACATGTTAGATACACATGTGTAAGTTTTACCATCACAGAGTTTGATGGCCAATTAATCATGTTCTCCCTGCTGAAGGGGAAGAGAGAACCAGATTTGGGTTCGGGTGACAAATCAAACCTGAAAGCATCATAAGTTCATTGCCATTAGTTTCATTCTTTCACCAAACATCCTTTTGTTATCAATGAAGAACTGTTTTATTAGCTTTATCTCAGCACTCGACTACGACATGTGACTGGCTTTGCTGCCAAGTGCTATTAAAAGTCCGACAGTGTTGCCCTGTTATTATTGCAGCTTCATGACATAAACACCAGTTCAGCAGGATTCCAGCTTCTCCTCTCATGCTTTCACATTCACTTTATAAAAACTAAGTGAACATTGTAAGCTGGATGTTTTCTTTAACTTAACAAAATATCCTGTTCATCTACAGGCTACATGCATCACTCCTCAGTTTTACTTGTTCTTTTTAGCTCAACTGTGCACTGTATTTTTTTTTTATTTTTCTTTCCCTTCACAGCTTTTACAAAGTGCCAAAACTTGCCCCAAGATAGCTGCGGGTAACACACGAGATGAAACAGCAAAACTGAGGAATAACTTGTGTAAAACCAATGGTTTTGGTCGGCTGCACAAATTACAGTTCACACATTTAATTTTGTACCTCCCTGTGTATATACATTCTGTAAACACACCCGCACTGTGAAACACTACCATGGATGTCTTACAATTGCGTCAAATATTCTGTGAGGCTGTAGATAGCACTTCCTGTGAGGATGTATCAAATTTAAAGCCCAGTTTCACTTCCTCTCCGTTTGACCCTTCGATTGTGGGAGAACAAAGTTTGTGACCACATCTGTGTCTGTTTCAGGCTACTAGGCAATTTCTGGAGGAAATCAACAAATGGACCAGTCAGCATGGAGTGTCACCATTGTCCAGGGAATTGGCCGTCAAGTTCCTCATGGCTCGCAAGTTTGACGTCCTCCGAGCCATCGAGCTATTCCACAGCTACAGGGTAAGAAAAGAGAGGGGAATCATTTAGATTAAAAATAACTTGCAGCTGCTCATTTAAACGAAACAGTTCAGCAGTTGTGACGTAGATCTCTCTGGGGTAGCCATATTAAAAGTCCTCATCCCTTAAACAGTGATTATGTACAGCTGAAAGTCCATCTAAACACAATCCATCAAACAGGAAATTCCCCAAAGTCTGTGCTGGATTTTGCTCCTAGTATGTAATGTTTGAAGTCATCGTATTAATTGACTAACCAAGTGGGCAGCTCACACAGATGTTCACACTACTATCACTTCATTAACACATATGAACGGCTCATCAGGTCACAATTTAGTTGTGCTACTTATGGTAACACCAACTTTTAGGCTAGCTACAAGAGCGTTTTCTTTGTGAATTTTCCAGTTTTGTTTAAGTTTTTATGCCTGAAATTTGCAAATGACAATAGTAGTCTTAGTTGGTCATGTATAAACATTTTAACCCCTATTACATTTAATAAAATGTACCCAACTACGTAAGGCATCAGAGTGAAATGAAGAAATTTGCCTTGATACAAAGTGAGAAAAGATCCTGTTTAAGATCGAGATATCTGATCAAAGAATAAATAAACAAGCTTATCATTTCATGGCAGCTTGAAACACTGGAGACTTTTCAGTACCAGATGTTGCCAACACAATTTGGTTGTACTCATCAAGTATTTAAGATGACGTGTGTATGATTTAGGGGGATTTGGTGGCATCTAGAGGTGAGTTACAGATTGCAACCAGCTAAAACTTCACCCGGTTAGATTTCCTTCAATGTTCATTGTTCAAGTTTTTATTATGAGCTGAATTATCCACAGGGGTCTCTTCCTCTCCAAAACAAGCAGACCAGGCAACTAGAACAGCTAAAAACAGTATTTCATCAAACAAATCAGTGCATCATCTACACTGTTCAGCATTTCGAAAATTGAAGGCTCACAAAAACAGACAGTGCATCATGGAGATCTCCATGAATAAAGACATACTCCATATGTTGATAAAAACGGTTAATTCAGAGCTAATGAGAACACAGCAATTCTTATTTTCAGGTCATTATACACTAAAGAAAACATACTTACTACTTAATACTTATTTTTATTAGGTAGAGCGGGTCGTCCACCAATCGGAAGATCAGCGGTTCCATCCCCAGGGCCTCCAGTCTACATGTCGAAGTATTCTTGAGCAAAATACTGAACCCCAAATTGCTCCCGATGATGCTTCCATTGGTTTGTGAGTGTGTTAGAAACTGAGTAGCAGGTGGCACCTTGTATGGTAGCCTCAACCGCCAGTGTGTGAATGGTTGAATGTGACTCGTAGGGTAAAAGTGCTTTGAGTGGTCAGATAACTAGAAAGGCACTATACAAGTGCAGTCCATTTACCATTTGCCATTCTGCAAATATATCCCCCTAATTCTGCACACTGGACCTTTTAAGTTCCCCTGTCATACTAAAGTTATGAATGTTATACACTGTGCAAACATGTGCAAACATTTTCCTTTCTGGGCCTCAAATAATATCACAATATTGTAGGGTATTTTTCCAATATCAGTATTCTTGATGATATGAAAAAATACTGACTCATTATAAATGTAATAGTTTTCTTAAGATATTTGGTAAAAACTGAAAAATATCTCTCATTTCTTTAGTTTGTAAACAATAACGATAACTCTGAGTGAAATTCAGATTTTGTATAAAGTATAAATAGTGCAAAAAAAGTAAATATCTAAACAGATGTCAAATACAAAAAATATACCCTTGTATCTATATACTATAGACAGACTATAGACAGAGACTTTCTTACCTTTCCCTCTCTATTTCTAAAATTCCAATTTTTTTTCTCGCCTGGGCCTGTACGCCTTGTTATTTCTAATCCACTCCTAACTTGTGTCACTCAGCGCTGACAATCAGACCCGCTGCACACACACCTGCATTTATTTTTGACATACTGTTACTCTACGAAGACTATCGCACATTCACACCTTTTTAAGTTCTTTGTCAAGCTTCCCATAGACTTACAATACAACAGGCTAAAGTTAAAAACTCCTCCACCACGGGGCCTGAAGCAGTTTTGCTGTAAGCCATGCTGGTTGTTGCTGTTGTCATTATGTCAACAAGTCGGAGTATTGCCACGATAACAATATGTTTTTTTTTTGTTTGTTTGTTTGTTTTGTTTTTTTTTTTAATGAGAAGAAAAAATTAAATTCAGCTGTTTTTCAAAAAACATGGCTGCTTACATTAAAGCACCGACAAGTTTTGATCCTGAGGTCTTTATGAGGGTGCTAAAGGGTGGATGGGAGTCATTTATTCTTCCCATCTGTCTTCAAGAGCACCTGCATTTTTTTCTTGAGTCTCATATGATAAAGACAGTCCTCGAGCACACCAATACCTTGTTCTCCAAAGTAGGATTTTTTTTTTTTAATCTTATTAAAAATGATACCCCTGTTATCGTGAACAATATGATATGGCACACCCCTGTTATCGTGAACAATATGATATGGCACACCCCTGTTTCTCAGCTCAGCTTAAGGTCATGAGGGGAGCCCTCTGTGACAGTGATGTTAACGACATAACCTTTCAACAGGTTCCACCAAAGTTACCAAACACCCAAAGCTGCTTGCTTTAACATCATTGGCCAGTTAGAAAAGCTACAACAGAGCCAGAGGAGTCAAATGTCATTATGTGGAGATAATAGTTTTAGATGAGATGCTGACTCATCTCAAACTGTGTGTTTATTGGAACTCAGGTTATTTTGGTGAAAATATTTTCCACCTTACTGTGGAACCTTTAATTTAAGAATCTTTCTATCTCGTCAGTCTGAACACTTTTTCTGTTTCAACGTTATCGTAAGAATATACACCCACATTGGAACAATCTTATCTCATTATACTGATCATCAGCCATTATTTCCACAGAATCAGTCCTTTTACAGTTTATTAACCTCTATTTGGATGATTATGACACAACGCAGGGTCTGAAACGAGTCGCGTTTGACACATAACTGCAATTTATCACCTTTGTCATTACTTCAGATGGAAAGAAATAACTGATGACATGTTTTAAAGGACAGTGAATAAAATCAGAACAACATGCAGAAGTATTAAAAAGGCCCAGAGGTAGAAAGGTGGAGGTCATGTAGAGCTTCTTCACCACACCCACAGAGCAGCGCAGTAACACAAGGCCCTTTTTTCATTGAACAAATGTCTTCAGAAGCCCAAGCCAAGGGAGAGATCGCCTAAACAGATGCACCAAAAACCTGGGGCCAAACACACACACACACACACACTGAATTATATACTGGGGGGATATTTCAAGACGCAGCATGCAGGCTTACTCAGCTTTCCAGAGAGCTTTGAGCTTATCACGAAATAAGTGTTGCGTTGTCGTCAGAAAAGCTTATTTAGTTGGTACAGCTGAGGTTATGAGTTATGAGGTTAGATTAAATGAGGACCATAAAGTTTTACAGGGAAGGGTGTGTTGCATGCAAACAGTGTTAAACACAGTGACAGAATATGTCTAATGTATGTGTGATAAGTCAGACAAAAAGTTGGAATTCTAGTGCTTGTTTTTTGGGATATTTTGAGCTTTCTGTGAAGCTAAAGAGGTGAACAGCAGCTCTCTATTGACCAAAGTTCCTACTTTGTTTGCTCTTAACCAGGAAGAACAGTAAACTGAAAGTGGACCAAGTTTAAAACAGGCACTACCTATAGCTGCCAGCTGTGTATCTATAAGTATCAGCTATAGGCGACGTTAAGAGTCTGCCTGACTGTGTGCCACAGCGCAGCAGAGAAAATGTGTCTCTTCACTACATATCACTGAAATAGCAGTTGGTGACCTTGGTGATATTATTACCATCAAACCGGAAAATGATGATCAAGATGAAACCTCCAGGGCAGCGCCGGCGGATCAGACTGCAGGTCTCATTTACTTTATGACCTGAAAATAACATCTAGATAATAACATAATCAAGGCCTTCTCCTCCGAGCCACGTAATAACTACCAGGGAGTCGAGGATAATGTCTTATTTTCTCCCCTAAATGGTCTATACTGTTGTAAATTTCATCTCGGCCAAATCTGAACATGCAAAATGGGGTTTATCTGCTCAAATCTGCTCTGGTTTATCCACCGCAGCAAACGGAAAGTTCACAGACGTCTCTCGCAGACTCTAATTACCTGAATAGCTCCAAGACGTGGCAGGATTTTTACCACCTACCTTTTAGTAACGACGCTTCAATCACCAAGGTGGGTTTTTTATTTCTGCAACGAATAGTTGGCCCGCATGAACACGACTCATTTGTGAATGCCTCGACTGTGACTTTGAGAGGGATTAGTCTCCCCCCTGCCACGCCACAGTTCATTTAACTCGGTTTAATGCTGCGTCAGCGCCAGGACAGAGGCTGGGGACAAGTAATTTGTCAGAACAAACTAAGAGGGAAAGTTTCCAGTGAAGTGTTTGTTTGGTCGAGGGGGGATGTACAAACAGGCCGGGCTGGCATTCAGACTAATGTGGCTGGTTGTGTGAGTCGGACCTGGCATAAAAAAACAGTGTTTTTTGTATTTCACCATGTATTGAAACTGCTGCATGAGTAGTTTTAGCCCAGACCTGCTGTATTTTAATGAATCAAAGCACTCAGATTAAGTGGAACATTTCCAAAAAAGTAACTTGTCATTTGAGTGAAGTTTCAGTGATGCAGTAACTTGTCGTCATCGTCAGGTTGACAGGTAGAGATTCCAGAGAGGCAGTCTAGCACATAATCCACCATAACACCACAATATGTCATTTTTTAGCTGCAACCAGCAACCCTTGAGCTCACTCTGATGGTCCGGTGGTTGGTTTGTTGTTTGCGCGGCCACAGTCAGTTGGCAAAAAGGGGCAATGTGTTGATGCATGCGTGTACTTGATCGCAGCAATTGCGAATTCTTGCTTGTTACACTTTAGTTTTTGTACAGGTGAAACAAGCAACGTATAACATGTTGATTAATGTACTTTAGAGGGGCTGGTCGGTAGATTTCCTTGGTTCTAGGTCCCATTTTTAACTTGTCTACTTGTCAAACATTTGCCTTTGTTTCAGTGTCATCAATCATTCTCTAGACATGTCAGGTACACATCTTACAGTCAGGTCTTCCTGAAGAGCTTACATTACTCAGAATATGGCTGCCCTCCAGCGTAATATATCCATTATGTTTTTTAAACTGCTGATATCTTCACATGGTAGTCTTTCTTTCATATTTGTCTCCAATTACCAATAACACATGATTGATTTAAAAAAAACAACAACTTTAAAAACATGGAATAAGACAGCCACAGTTTCCATCATGTCCTCTCTATCAAATAAAAAAGCCTTCATGAAAATCAAACTCTCTATTAAAGAGACAGTTCACCCCAAAACAAAAAAAATACAAATTGTTCCTCTTACCTGTAGTGCTATTCATCAGTTTAGATTATTTTGGTGTGAGTTGCTGAGTGTTGGTGATATCAGCTGTAGAGATGTCTGCCTTCTCTCCAATTTAATGGAGCTAGATGGCACTCAGCTTGTGGTGCTGCAAGTGCCAATACATTTGAAAAACTCAACAGCAATGTCTCTTTCCAGAAATCATGACCTGGTTACTCAAGATAATCAAGAGACCTTGTTGTGAGCAGTTTCATGTAGGAACTATTTTCTTTCTTCCACACTGCATCCACCAACCACATCCCTGTGCAGAAGGAAGCATGTACTAGCTTATGTAGCACCTCTGAGCTAGCTAACATCACAGCTCAGCCCAGGAGGACGCCATTAATGTTTACATCTCGCACTGACAGGAGCACAAGCCTCTTGTCCTTGAGTATATGCACTCTGTCGTGGTGATGCAATCAGTGGGTGTAGTTCGATAGAAAGAGTCATGAATTCTGGAAAGAGACATTGCTGTTGAGTTTTTCAAATGTGTGAGCACCACAAGCCGAGTGCCATCTAGTTCTATTATATTGGAGAGAAGGCAGACATCTCTACAGCTGATATCGACAACACTTGGCTACTCACACTAAAACAATCTAGACTGATAAACAGCACTACAGGTAAGAGGAGAAATATGTATATTTTATTTTGAGGTGAGTCAGTCCTTTAAAATTAGTGTTAGTGAAACTATGGGGAAATTATTTTGGGTTTTATGACTTCTCTTTCAGGTAGATCATCCTTTATTTATTACTAGTTATTGCTGAGGTTTATTTGTATGCTCCGTCATCATAGTTCAGGGCCCGCATTATTTAAAAGCCAGAAACGGTAAATACAACGGTAAATGGAAATGACACCTCCCATGCTCGGCCCTCAGAATGAATTCAAGAAACTCCCACACACCCTACTCAGGGGGTGGAAAAAGGAATGGAAACTTTGCCGAGAGGGATCCTCCTGGCAGGAAAGTCAGGCGGGTACTTCTCCATTGTTCACAAAGAGCAGTTCACCTCAAAGTGACGGCCTGTTATAGTTCCTCCGCAGCCTGACTTCACCTGCTGTGATCTGTTCTCTTCAGGAAACACGTCTGAAAGAAGGAATCGTCAGACTTCAGCCTCAGGAAGAACCTCTGCGCTCGGAGCTGCTCAGTGGAAAATTCACTGTGTTGGTAAGAGTCATTTAAATCTCCTCTAGAGTTGGCATTTCTTAGATGGAAAAATCCAGCGTGATGTCATATAGAGAACAATTAAAGGATAAGGCAGGAGATATTCTGTAAATTCTTTATTATAAACAAGTCAAATGAAAAGACCAAAACCAGCCCTGAATCAATCCTGCGTACAAGTACTGTCTGTGTATTCAAAGCTTATTCTTCTGTCCCATAGTCCTCCATTTCACACAGGAACACACTTTTGAGGACGGGTTAGTCTGCATTAGTAAGATGCCCAGTATACATAATGCCGGACCCTCAATGAGGTCTGTTTTCAGTATAATGATAGTACATTTCACACCGTTTCACAATCATGAAACATATGGACCAATGAGCTCTTTTCTTTGCATCTCCAACAGCTATCATCCCCTAAGTCCCAGCCTTGACATTTTCTATTATCATTATTCTTTTAAAAAATGGGGAGACAATAACAATAATGACACTAATTCCTAAAACAAATACAACAAAAGACAAAAGACAGTTGGCTTTTAAAAGAGAATACTGTTGTAGTAGGTCGTAGTTAATGTGGAAGAGAATTCCAGACAGTAAGAGCATAGTGACTAAAAGCACCGTGAGCTGATTGAGAGTTGATTTTAGGTGCAATGAGTCGACCCTTATTTGATGATCTCAGGGATTGTGAGCAAGAGGCCGTGTGTCGCAAACTGCGGTTAAAAACCCCAACTGAGTTGCACATTCTGAATGTGCAGTATACATGACCAAAGAATGCCTCCAAATCATGAAACATATTGGCATTTCCCTCATGTCTTAATCGGGAAAAAGCCTATTTCAGAATAGCTAAATGGAAATATGCTGTTTACGTGAGCCGTATTAAATTTGGAAAATTAGTGTGCATGTAAACCTAGTCGCTGTCTTGGTGTCATGTATGCTTACTAGAGCAACTGGTGCAGTCACAGGCTCCAGAATTTTCCGTAGTTATCGCCTCAAGGTCCACACAGCTTCATCTATTCAATGTTATACTTGTGTTTGGTGATGTCGTCCAGTTCGTTTGCTGTCTCTGTCAAGTAGCTGTCTGTTAGTCAGTCACTCCACAGCAGGAAACAGCACTTCAAAATAAAAGCGCTGTGCCAGAAATTTGCTGTACTTCAAAGTAAAGTGTGTTTTTTTACAAAGTTAACACGTTTGCATGTCACTTGTGGTCCATTCAGAATGAGTCCATGACCCACTTATGGACCGTGACCCACCAGTTGGGAACCACTGCACTAAAGCACCAAATGTGTATTAATTCGCAGTTTGAAATAGTCCCCAACAGACGCACTTTTAACTGTTTTGAGTAATGTTTGCTCAAAGCTATAGCACCCAGCTGTTTTAGGAAATTATATGATTACATATAATAATAAAATTGAAGCTGTGTACTCATGACCTGTTTTTATAGGTTTACATCCTCAGTAGAAAGCAGTGGGCCTGTGTCAAAGGTGGGGGAATCAGAAAGTATCGAGACAGGCAGTGTTGGTTTTGGTGTTTTCTAGTGCTGTACCCAGATATTCGGATATTCGAATATTCGTTTCTATGGGTAGGTATTCGTTATGAAAATTTGGTATTCGAGATTCGTTTTTTTATTTACTTTTTTTTTTTTTTTTTTGGTGCTAAATGTAGCCTTTTTGTTGTTGGTAAATGTAGGTTATCAATAAAAATCAAAACTTTTAAATTCCATTGTTAAAAATGTGAAAATATAGTATCGCCTACCAACTGAGCTTCTGCGCACGGCAGGCTTGAGCGCATCCGTCTGAGGCTGTGGATCAATGCCAAGTTTTACCACTTTATCACTATTCCCTCTAACTTGTAGCTGTTTTTTCATTATCTTTTGAATTAAATATGAATTATGGAACCGTTTTTGTCAATGTTTGTTTCCCCTGTTTTGTACAATAAATTATTGTTTAAAGTTTCAACAAGTTTCTTTTGGAGTGCGTGACACAAGTGTGTTTTGAAAATGACCGCGGACTGTCACCTGCTCAACGCATCAGTACCTTCGGATGCCATGACAGTAATAGATTATAGATTAATAGACTCTAATAATAATGTCAAAATATCATTTACAGACCGATTTAACAGACGATCACTGCTGCACGACCCGCAGGTCCATTTGCGGGTCCCGCGGGTTACGGGTCGACCCGCGCATCACTACTCAGCTCAGTCTATAAAGGCTGTACACAACAGTAAGGCTATAGACATTATATTCTATTCAGGCCGGCAGAACCAGCAGCGCATCGGCTCTACAGTGCACAGCACTGCTGATTAACCATTTTATTGCAGCACAGAGTATCTGCCAGCAACCAGTTACTTGCAGAGGCTTCCTACAACTTGTTTCAATGGTTCCGATTTAATCAGAAGACAAATTAAACAGGGTGACTAGCCAACGTGAAAATCAAAAGAAAGCATAGAATAATGTACTGAAGGAGACTGTTGTGCTATCACATTTTTTTTTTGTGGTTTGAGAGCAAAGATCCGGTCGCCGCTGTGCAAAACTCCGCAATACAATTAGGGTCCAAAAAAGCCCCCAGAGGAGTGCTTCGCAAGGAGTCTTTGAAAGGAGCCGAGCCTGGCGTAAAACCGGAGAGAGCAGGCAGCACAGCCACAGCTGTTGCTTATCACATTTTCTTTTGCTGTTGTTTAAATAACATTGTTGCTGTGCTTTTGGTCTTCAGTACAGTTCAGTCAAACTTTATTTATGTCGCACTTTTCATACAAAGAGAATGCAACACATTCACAAAGTGCTTCACAAAATATATAAACCAATGAAAGGATCTTAAAATAAGAGGCAGATGTTGTTATTGCATGTAATGTGTGTAATGTCACTCCAACTGGAAATGAAAATTAGGACAGTTTATGAGGTATGGGAGCTCGGACAGAATGATAGAGGATGAAACATGCTTCAGTTCTGTACTGTCTCTGACAAAGCAAACAGAAAAGCTCCCTTTTCAACATGTTAAGTTTGTTGAGTTGTCTCACTTTGGATGTTTTTCCTCCTCCCTCTGTGTCACCTTTCAGAAATCTAAGTTCCTCTGGACTTGTCAAGGAAGTAGCTTGGCTTTAGGATCAATAAATCAATAACTCACACCTCAAAGGATCCCAACCTGCTAATGTAATGAGCTCACTTTTCATTCACAAGGTTTTAGGGTTCAAACTCTGAATGCAGGCTTCTATAATGAGGACTTAAGAGGTCCTTTAAGGGTGCAAGTTATTGACCGACTGATGTGCCAAGTGGATTTCCTTTGCCAGATAAATTTAGCCCTTTGTCAGCCAAATCACAACCATAAAAGATGCCCCCCCCTCCCTCCAGCATGCACACACACACTCCTGCGTTTCCCTTCTTCCTTCCCCATTGACGTGCCACAGTGGCATTGATGCTGCACATCCTCTTGTCTGACGTCGGAGGTCTCCAGCCTCAGCAGCGAGCTTCATATCCTGCCTGAGGTATTTTTAGCCCCCATACCCGAGAACACAGGCTTATTTGCTTACAAAGGACGGTTCCGTGGTATCTTAGGTCAGCGGCTTCATTCAAGTGAAGAGTTTCTGGCTCTCCTGACAACCAGCAGCCTGAACACCCTTATCAAACCTGAGAACACCCCTCAGGTTTGATATGAGAAATATGTTTCATTTTCCTCTCAGGGTGAAAACAGAGCTGTAAGACCTGCAGCATCATTACTGGAGAATTGTTCCTCCTGTTGAATTGTTGACAGCCCTTTTTGGCAGCCTGCCAGTAACCAGCATATGAACTTAAGTGCCCCCCTGTGGTCATTGTTCATCCTTCATTTTTTGCAGAGCTTCCATTTGGCTGTCTCGTTGTCACACTTAAAACTAACCCCAGTAAACAAGTGGCTAAAAGTACCACATGATTTCTATTTAAAAAAAAAAACACTTCACAGTCAATCCACTGGTAACACTTTCTTCCCAGAAATCATAACTCATGCAACTAAGGAGAAATTCAATGGTAGGTAGTGGAGATGCAGAAAAATAAACCCTTCAGAAGACAAAATAAAAGCTGTAGTTTCTTGTTCTTAATAGAAACATGGAGCTCAGTGTTAGCTACCTTGCTCAAGGGATACACAGAGGGGAATTTATCCAGTGTGAATAGTGAAAAGGGGGTAAACGTGTCACACTAGGCTGAATGCTGATATAAGTTGTGGTGTTTTGTATTCCAGAGTGTACGGGATCCTTCGGGGGCCTCCATCGCCTTGTACACAGCCAAACTTCACCACCCAAACAAGACAGGCAACCATGTGGTGCTTCAGGCCCTCTTCTACCTCCTGGATCGGGCCGTGGAAAGGTGAGGACTGGTTTTAGGATGATTCCCTGAATATAAGAGAAGTTTAACAAGAGACCTACTGTTTTTAAATTATGAGCCTGATGTTATCTGTCCAGCTTTAGCTTTGGAATCTGATGCAAGATTTTACTTTAACTAGAAACCGTACCAAATATATCACCCAATTAAGCTCCAAGTGGGTCAGTTTCCCTTGAGGGAATCCTGAGCATGTAATATTTAATTTGAATATTTAAAGACAGCTTTCTCTATTGTGACTTCCACTGTATTTGAAATTATGAGTGTTAATTCAACGTTCTGTCTATTTGAGGTGTCAGGGGAGGAAAAACGTGCACGTACCTTCATAAGTTAGCTGTTACTTGACCTGTTTGTTACAAAATCCAAAACATTTACAGAGAAGTCTTAAAGAAGTCTCATTATTTTTCCACCTTGACCCTATTTCCTCTTGTTTTATATCTAAGTAACTCATGGGAACATCATTTTGTTAAATTGGTCTCGTATTGAGTGACAGCAGCAGGGATACAGGCTGCAGTGTAACCACTTGGGGCATGTTCGCACCCCTAATTTACATCCACTGACTGCCACTGACAGGCTCAATGCTTATGCTCTAAGTGTCTGACAGCATTATGGAAAGGATCCATGCAGAGACAGACCTTTTGTTAAAGGGTAAGATCCTTTTTGTTTGACAAGAAAAACGGACCCAAAATCACTGTCACTAAACTTACTAGACTCCTTTTAAATAAACAATAATTTCAGCGAGTATAGAGAAAGAATATTGTCACACCTAACAGAGGGAATTAAGGGTTTATTTCGGCCAAACCAGAGTTGATGATTGTTGGAACAGTGAAAAGACAAACTAAGATGTACTGAAACTTTCGTCCATCATTAAAATTTTCAGAACAGGTTCTATTTCCTGTGTTTTTCACATCCGTCTGAGCCTTTAGAGATGTTTGACCAAGAATCAGTGAATAAAATATGGCAGTGGGACACAGCGGCGACAAGACAGAGGAATAGGGTGCACAGAATCATTTCATAACTCTGATAGCTCACGTTCAACAGGTCAGATAGTAATATTCAGGTGGATGATAATAATGAGGAAGAGGATGTGGACCACATAGAATGGGTAACTCCAGTGGAGAGAGGCAAAGGAGGAGATGTGTCTTTTAATTTTGTCACGTATTGTGAATGTTTGCACCAAATTGAACAATACAACACATCAGAATCAGTGTGCAAGGTTTCTGTGCCTTTACTGTTTATTTGAATGGCGTCTGCTGGGTTTGAGATAGCGATTTCAGGGCTGTTTCTGGTTTAACTAAGGACTTTACCCTTTAACAAAAAGGTCTGTCTCTGTAGGGATCTTTCCACAGGTTTTCAGACACTTCCAGTTACAATCTGAGTCTGTCAGTGGATATAAATTGATGGTGCAAGTACGCTCCAAATGATTACATTGCAGCCTGTTTCAAAGCTCCTCTCTGCAGCAGTCTCACTCAATACCACTTTCAAAAAATGTTTTCCTTATCAGTAACTTAGATACACAAACACAGGAAAACAGGGTCCATGTTGGAAAATACGGAGCTTACCTTTAAAATTCTGTTTGCCCGTAGCTTTGAGACCCAGAGGAATGGCTTGGTGTTCATCTACGACATGGCGGGCTCCAACTACACAAACTTTGAGCTGGACCTGAGCAAGAAGATCCTCAACCTGCTCAAGGTTAACTTTACAGTGCTGCATTTTACACAGACACATACATGTGTTAATACACGTACAGAAAAAGCCAAACAAAGAAAATGAGATGCTTAACCCTGAGAAACGGTGTAATATTGTAGTGTAATATTCACAAGAACAGATGCAGATTTACTGTAAACACTCCCACATACAGTGGTGGAAAAAAGTTTTCGGACACCCTTAAAATTTTACACAATCTCAAATATTATCATGAAATATTTGTGGAAAAATATTTTTTGTGTTTCAAAAGGTGTGGCTGCATTAGACAGATACAAACAAATACAAATTATATTTTTTTGTTTATTGTTTACAAGAAAAACTAACAAAACTAAATTCTTGACAGTTTCAATATGTCAGTTCTCAACATTGTTGGTATCAAAGTCAACAAATAACAGAGAATGTGTTCAAAACTGAACAAAAAATAAATAAACCATCACATCATCAAATTAATATTTAGTAGTCCTGCCATTGGCACGTAGTAGAGCTCTAATCCTGGCTGGCATGTCCCCCACGAGCCTTTCACACTGAGGGGTAATCTTGTCCCATTCTTCTTGAATTACTGCTTTTAATTCTTCTAAATTCTTTGGTTTATGCTTTTAAACAGACCTTTTGATAATCCACCACAGATTTTCAATGGGGCTCATGTCCAGGGATTGAGCTGGCCACTCTATGACCTGGATACTGTGCTCCTGCAGCCAAGTTCTACTGGCCTTGGATGTGTGGCAAGGGGCATTATCTTGTTGAAACATCCAGTTTTTACCTCGACAAACAGTGCACGCGCAGAAGGGAGCATGTGGGTTTCGAGAATGGTACAATACTTGGTAGAGTTCAATGTGCCATCACAGACAGTGAGATGACCAACACCAGCAGCACTCATGCATCCCCAAACCATGATACTGCCTCCACCATGCTTGACAGTAGGTACTGTACATGCTGGAGATAATGCTTCGCCTGGCCTTCTGCGTACCCTCACATTAGTAGGAGGAAGATAAAGCTGGAAACTGGACTCATCTGACCACAAAATCTTCTTCCAATTCCTGGCTGTCCAGTTCTTGTGTGCCTGGGCCCAACGACGCCGGGCTAACCTCTGTCTCTCATTGATCAGGGGCTTCTTGATAGCCTTGTAGGACCTTAAGCCATGATCTAAAAGTCGGCCACGTACAGTGCGGGTGGAACACTGGACACCAGTTTGGTTTGACCACTGCTGCTGAAGCTCCTGTGATGTCATTCGGCGATTTTGCCTGCACATGCGGATCAGGATGCGGTCATTTCTTGCTGAAGAAACCCTTGGACGCCCAGATCTTGGTTTGTCTTCCAAGCTGTTGGTTCTTCTGTATTTCTGCAGAGTGTATCCAACTGCTGAAGGACTGCATCTGCACTTTCTGGCTATCTGGCGGCAGCTGTACCTTTCCTGGCTGAGAATCTTTATCTTCAGGCGTGTTTCCTGCGTTAGGTTCCTTGTTTTAGCCATTTTTGTGTCTGAAGAACTTTCAAATGTGCTGGCTTTATGTAGACACGAAGCTTGGCAACAAAAATTGTGTCTTTTAATAAAAAGAACGACCTTCATCACTGGTACCAAAATGACCCAATACTCAAAATTTCTTATGTATTTTTATGGAACCAATCAATTTTAAGTTTTTAATGGCTTTTTTAGGATTTATTTAGTATTTTGGCTGTGACTGTACTAAAAGAAATTGCACTTGAAGACCTAAGAGTGGTTCTTAATGCAATATTTCACAAATGCATGGGGTGTCCGAAAACTTTTTTCCACCACTGTATATTGGAAGAAAATGTGTTGAATTTTCTGCTGTTGTTGAAAGTGATTCACTCCTTTCCAGGGCCAGGTTAATACATAACTGTTGAGTTATGTCCTTCTTCCTGTGAAGAAGCATAATGATTAAAAGGAGGTTGGCATCATCACAGGATTTAGTGCTCGTCCAAAGGGCAAGATGAATGGCTCAGCGACTGAGATGACAAGCATAAGAATTATTTAATCCATGCACCTTGGCTGTGTAATACTCAGATGAAGGCATACTTGCAGGTACCTGCCAAAATAAGCACCACTCTGTGTGATTTGTGCTTTAAGGATCTTGTAGTATGTCATCTGGAGTCAATAGCACAGACACTTATGTAGCCACATCAGCATCAGCGGCATGTATTTGTGCCCACATATTGATCTAAACATTGACTGTAGTCGTAGAGCTGTGCTCAGTTAGTGTAAACAGCAGTGCCACAATATAATGTGAATGATAAATGAAAGAGGGTGAGCTTCTGTGAGTGTGCTGTCCAAGTCCAAGTGTTACGAGGATAAGATGAGCACATGATTATCATGACTTTTAAAGAAGAATGAAATCCCATTGAAGTTGTGCTGTCTTTCTCCACCAGGGGGCGTTCCCTGCCAGGCTGAAGAAGGTGTTGATTGTCGGGGCTCCTGTTTGGTTTCGAGTGCCCTACAATCTGCTCAGCCTGCTTCTCAAGGAGAAACTTAGGGAGAGGGTAAATAAAAGTTTTCTGATACTTTCTCCATGTTCATGATGATTCTTTTAAGAGGATTGGGAAAATTCTGTTTAGTTTATGTGGAGTGGTATTGAGCAGGCACTTCAGTGTCATTGATTGTTGCAGGTGATCATTTGATTAGGGGCTTCTCTCTAACCACTAATTCTCCCTGCTGCCTCATATATCACCGGATGTTAATGCTTGTATCGCAGGAGTCGATCACCCTGCCACATCACTGTCCCTGAAGAATTTCATTAGTATGGATTTTTTTACAGTCACCTGATGCTCTACTGTAAATTGTGTTTCAGTTTTATTCCTGCAATCAAAAATAAATTAAAAAAAAAAGTAGTTTCAGCCCTCCGTTAAAGGATACCAGAGGTGTTTAAATGTTTATGATGTGAATTTTCTCTCCTGACTCCAGGTCCAGATGGTGAAAATGGCCGAACTCCGCCAGCACCTCCCCAGGGACTGTCTCCCCCAGCACCTCGGCGGCCTGCTGCCTCTGGAGTCGTACAGCTGGAACCAGCAGCTGCTGGCGGGCCAGAATGGCCGGGTGGACCCAGTGGACGAACTGGTGGGCATCCCTGTGGAGGACTCTTCCATCCACGTCCCCGGACCTGAGTCCATGCGTCCACAGGAGCTGCTGGTACACCTTGGCAGGCTTCAGCGCTCAGGCATCCATCAAGAGTATGAGGAGGTCCGCAAAGAACCGCCGCCCGGAACCTTCCACTGTGCACAGTGAGTTTACTGCAGCATAGTATACTGTGTATATACACATAAATATCTGCTTTAGGGTTAACATTTGAAGCATCTTTACATTGCAAACATGGGATCATTACAACAACAAAACAAGGGATTAATTCACAATGTTCAAACTTACTATTTTCTCTAAAAGAAATCCATTAGATTGCTTTTTCCCCCAGACACATTTTTACACAAGGAACAATTTCAGTTACACTCTAAAACGATTGTCCTACATAGGCTACTTGTTTTTATTGTACAAAATGTTATTTTGTTCTAAGTTCACAACACTAATAGAAGCAGACAAACTGATACTCAGTATTTTAAAGTGAAAGAGTAAATTGATGGAACCGGTGGACTCTAGTGTTGTCTTCGTTGTGTCGATATGAAGAGGCTCAGACCGTGAATATCTTTGGAGGAGATCTCCGTTTATTCCTGACATCTCTGACAGCAAGAGGTAAAAACAAAACCCTCGGTCAATTACAACCATTGAACTCAAGACCCTACACAAGTTAAGTGACACAGGAATATATTATCATATAATACAATACGTTTAATCTGAAAAATGAACTTAGAAACAGTTTAACAGCACTAAAACATGGGAAATACTACGAGAGCAATGTCACTTACCTCTCCCATGGAGCACAACAGTAGAAGGGGAGAGGTAAGGCAGGAGACACCCCTTTTATAGGTGGGGTACCCCCAAAGGTGAAAGTAGGGGTACAGAACGTATCAAATGTTCCACAAATTGACAATGGAGGCCTAAGCTTGTCACGATATAACGACTGAAACAAATTTTGTGTAATTATAATACTTAATATTACAAATGTAGATTTGACTTTGTCACACATATTACTGCTGTTTATTTAACCCTGTTACATACAGACAGAAGATTAATCAGTAACTTATTTTATAATGAATAACTTCAGTAATTTGTCAAGTGCAAAATGCTAACAACTTGATGGGTTCAGCTTTTCAAATGTGATGATTTTATTTCTGTATTTCTCATGTATGAGAAAGTAAATTGAACATATTTTGATTTTGACCTGTTGACTGTATAAAACAAGCAATTTGAATATGCCGCCTTGGGCTTTGGGAAATTATAGAGGACAAAAATTATTCAAACCCGGGACATCAGGTTCACTATTTGTAGACTTTCAATTGAGCACCGTCAATTTAAGTCCACTTAAAGTGCTTGTTTTTGCCACTGACAGGCTCAGATTGTTATTATAAGTATCCAACAACATTATGGAAAAAACTCTACAGAGTCTACAGCCTTGCTTTTGGACCCACTCCTGAGAAGGTCCATCTGCGGTGCAGCTTGGTGTGGCACAGCGCGTCTAGACTGACAATGGAAACACAAATCGGTGCGGCATAGCTTTACTCGGCGTGGCCACGAGTGACAATGGAAAAAGGGTATAACTCTCGAACATTTCCATCGTTGTTTTCTTGCAACAAGTCACCTCTTGCGAGATTTTAGAACGGGACTTTGGCTCGAGTGAGACTGGGTTATGCACAAAATCAAACAGACCAGCGAAAGGTCTGGACAAACACTTAATCTCTTTTTAGGGCCCTTTCCATAATGTTGTCAGACACTTATAACGACGATCTGAGCCTGTCAGTGGCAAAAACAAGCTTTTAGTAGACCTCCATTGATGATGCCAAATGCCTCGAGTGATCACACTGCAGTCTGTTTGACCGCTGCAGTTGCAGCAGTCTCTCTCAATACTGGACCAGTTTCAAAAATTGTTGTCTGCATGAGTCCGTTAGACCCAAAAACGTGAATCAAACAGTGCAGAATGAAAAATACTGAGGTTTCCTTTTCAGCATTGGTGGAATCTGGCTGCCGCATTAAGCGTCACTCATAATCTATGGTATTATTTGCCTTCAGATCAGCCTACAATCAGGAGAGGAATCGCTATGGAGACGTGCTGTGCCTTGATCAAACAAGAGTTCGTTTGAAAGCCAGGAGGAACGAGGTTAGTGCTTTTTAATAATCTGCATATTACAGTTGTCATTCATATGAAAAGAAAAAGACTGCCAGTTCCATTCATCATCATCCTCCGCTGCCAAGTAATGTGCCAAGCTTCAGCGTTTTGAATGGCTGCCACGCTGCCAGTATTCTGATGTACAAGCTGATATTTGTCCAGAGAGTGTAACCAGAGTATTTTCATTCTGCTGTGTTTACTCCTCTAAAATAACTGAATACACTGTCAGCCCCGTGTAGACGACTCAGCTGTACTATCTCATTCAGCTTAGCACAGTCCACCTTTTAGTGTTTCCTTTAACTGACGTGATGTCTTTGTAACAAAGCTTTGATGTTCCCACAGAGATCAGACTACATCAATGCCAGCTTCATGGACGGCTACAAACAGAGGAATGCATATATTGGTACTCAAGGTATGACATCTGACACATATTTTTAGTCAGTGTTATCTGGATTATCGTAGAAGTTTAAATCAATGGTTCCCAACTGGTCCAGCCCTGGGGTCTAGAAATCTCCCTAGTCATTAGTCCAAGGTCCACACAGTTCAATATATTCAGCATCATACTTGCATTTGGCCATGTCGTTGAGCTAGTTTGCTGTGTCTGTCAAGTAGCTGTCTGTTAGTCAATCAATCTACAGCAGGAAATGGCACTTCAAAAGAAAAGCTCTGTGTTAGAAATTGATTTGTGAAATATAGCAGTGTGGAGCCATTTAGCAGGAGGTTAAAAAGGCAGGATGCTGCAGAATTTTCTCAAAATACCGAGGGACTCTTCCTCATGCTGACAGAATAAGCTGTTGGACCTGCAAGTGCTGGATCTGCACACAACAACACACTGAGGTTAATTTTGTGATTAAAGAGTCGTTAGCAGTAAATGAAGAGTTGAGAGCAGGCGAGGGGTTTCAGGTTTGTTTTCTTTATTAGTGTCTGGTGCGAGTGGAGCTAATTAGGCTGCTGTTCCATGCAATCAAATGGATGTGCTCCATTACACTGATCTCTGACTGAACTGACGTCATTTTAATGTGCTTTGTACTTCTGTAGGACCGCTGGAAAAGACCTACGGTGATTTCTGGAGAATGGTTTGGGAACAAAACGTGCTTGTTATCGTCATGACAACCAGGTAATTTGAGCTGATTTTCGAAAAATCTAGATTAAAAGATAATACTTGTTTGTTGAGTCGGAAAATAATGCCAGTTTCCTTTTTTTTAAGACTAGTCAGGATTAGATCTGTAACTTAAAGGGGACCTAACGTCAAACGGACGTCTTCTAGCAGAAATCTGATCCAAAATCAAGAAAATATTAACATCAGAAAATAAGATTACATATTTCCCTGATGTTAGCATGTAGCTTCATTTAGCACTGTAGGCTCCATTTAGAGTCATAGTTACTCATGCTTATTCGTACCACAAGCCGACGTGGCCTACACATGAGACTCAGCGAATGCCCTTCAATCCATCCTGTTGAGTGTCCTCACATGCGACCCACCCCTCAGGTGATCACCCTAGGCACCGCGAGGATACTACCCTGTTACAGGTAGCGGGTCTTGCTGAAGAAACTTCAATGGGAGGAAGGAGGAGTGATGAGGTTGGAGTACCTCCACTCAGTGTGTCTCCCTTCTAGACCCAAGGACAGTCAGGACCATTACCACACGCTTGACATTTGCACGCCAGCACTCTTGGGTCTGACTAACTAAAAAATCTGGTCTGTCGTATAACCTCCGAACGTAGGGTCTGGAGATCAGGTAGAACACCCTACCCTCCAGGTTGACTCTAGATCCAGAGTCTGGGAACCACGGTTAATTAAGCCATTGATGCTTATCACGCTCATCTAGTGCTTATCCATGCCACAAGCCAATGTGGCCAACACACGAGACTCTGCGAATGTAAACATTTGCAGTAGTGTGCCTGGAGTAGATGACCTTATAAAGAAATCTGGCACGCTATGACGTCATACCACAGTAGAAAAAAAATTGTAACACTATGTATATGACACAAAATATGTAAGAGCATAACAGGTCCCCTTTAAATGTATTTCATCCACTATGTCCTGTCCCTCTCCTGCAGGACAGATGAGGGCAGTCGAAGGAAGTGTGGCCAGTATTGGCCTCTGGACGAAGGGGGGCAGGAGGTCTATGGCCACATGGCAGTGGTTAACCAAAGGGTGGACCACCACACCCACTACAACCACACCACCCTCGAACTGCACAACACTGAGGTACAACCTTTGAGCACTGCAAGGATTAATGTTGCAGAGGAGGAGAACAACAAAAAGCATACTGGTGCATACTGGTGCATACAGGCTCAGTGGAGTCAGATATATTGGCTGGCTGTAGTGAGATCCATCTTCCCCTCTTTATCTGGGTCAGATAGCAGCAGGATAAGAAATGTAGCCTAGATGCCCTTTTTAAACAAATTAGATTCAAAGTGTTAATTAGAAAAATTTAAAAGGTGCAGGTAGATGAGTTTTTTTAAACTTTGCTCAAAGCCAAGCTTGTTTCCTGTCTTTACTTTATGGTAAGCTGAGCTTAACACCTGCTGGCTCCAGGTTTTATATATATAGCGACATAGACATGAGTGGTATTGATCTTCTCATCTAACTCTTGGCAAGTAAGCTTGTTTCCTATAATATCGAACTATCCCTTTAATGGTGCCATATTTCAGGAGCGTAACGTACAACAAGCATGTAACTAAAAATATGTTTAATCCATTCAGACATGTGAACAGAGACAAGTGAGTCATTTCCAGTACCTCAGCTGGCCTGACTACGGCGTTCCCACCTCGGCAGTGACCCTCATCGACTTCCTGGGAGCTGTGAAGAGACAACAGAGGAAAATGGTGAAGGCTTTGGGACTTCAGTGGGCAGGCCACCCACAGGGACCCCCTATAGTGGTCCACTGCAGCGCAGGGATTGGGAGGACAGGTGAGATCCTAGAGATTGTATTCTTTTCAAAATATAGCTTGATGTCTGATAATTGACATATCACCAGTTGCGTTTCCACCAAAAACTTTAGGCATAGTACTCTTGGAATCGATACTTAACATGTATGGACAAAATTGTCAGACACCCATTTGTGAAGTTAAATAACGAGCTTCGGGTAATGAGGTTAACACAGAGTGGATAAGATTGTAAACATTTAGACCAAATTTGAACACAAGAAGCCTCAATTTTGCTTTTTTTTTTAAACGGTATTAATGATTGTGCTTTGTTATCAATAATTATTTTCTTAATAAGTGTGTCTACTAACAAGCCCTGTTGTTTGTAGGTACCTTCTGTGCCCTGGACATCTGTCTGTCCCAGTTACAGGACGTAGGCTCACTAAATGTTTGCCAGACGGTGCGACGCATGAGAACACAGAGGGCCTTCAGCATTCAAACCCCGGACCAGTACTACTTCTGCTACAATGCCATTTTGGAGCACGCCCAACGGCAGGGCCTGCTCCCAGCCAATCAGTGAGCTTCAGCCCTGACTTGCCAAATTAATCCATGAGCTCTGAGATTTCTGCAGCCAATCTGTTAACCCCGAGCTGTGTTGTGTGACCAATTCGTGAGCCCAGGAAAGTTAACTTCCTCACAGAGGCTGACTTCTGAAAGTAGGCCATCCTTCATTGGCAAGCCAGACCAAGACAAGACAGTGACGAGCAAAGGCCTGAGTGTTTGACATTATGATGTTTCATTGTGATAACATTCTCGCTTCCAACAATGTGACATTTTGTTTACGCCGAACATATCTCAGACAATACGTGGCAGTGTGTACAAACTGCTCCTGTGTCGTGCAGTTTTGTGGTCTACGGTCAGACACATTGGGCGGAGTGATCAAGGAAATGTTCATTAACCTTTTGTTTATTTATTCGCTACTTTAAACAGATGGTTTAGGGGACCTTTAAAGGAGCAGTTCACCCCAAATTAAAAATTCAATCAGTAACCACTCATCCAATGTCAGTTAAAATTCCACTGTTGGACTGCGGAACAATGAAGATGACCTTTAAATGTGTTTCAGTCAAATTCTCCTTAAATGCTTAAGTTAACATGGCCGTTGTGTGCCAAAAAGGCATGTTACTTTTTAACCCACACATGTCGTGGAAGGTTTATTTGCAGCCAAATAACTGTCCTATGAACATAATTACTGTACACAGACAATATCTTGGTCAGGTGCATGGTGTAAAAATTAAAGCTAACATTATGCTTTTAATGCACAAATTGTGCTAATTAGACTTTTGAAGGGTAACTGTGATATTTTTCATACTGGATCCTATTTTCCCATGTTTTTGTTTGTAAGTGACTAATGGGAACAACATTTTTTGAAATTGTTCCAGTACTGAGCGAGAGGGCTGCAGCCATCTGCGGAGAAACAGGCTGCTGGTGTGCAATTCCCCATTAAGGTTACACTGCAGCTCCTTTGCTGAATACTGGACCAATTTTAAAAACTGTTGTTCTCATTAGTCACTTAGACACAAAAACATGAGAAAATAGAGTCAGGGTTGAAGAATACCAAACTTACCTGCTAAAGGGGAATTTCTACTTGTGTGTTGGCTCTTTGCAAACCCTACGCCGTAGCCTACGTTGCCTACGTGATCATTTATACTTGTGCCGCTCTGCAGTTACACCTCCAAAACACTAGCTGGTGTCTGGGTTTCTGTGAAGTGCTTTAAAGTTTACTTGATTCAAAACACACCCAAAACATACATTAAACATGGCTTAGTAACAACAATTTCAAACACAAGTACACAAATCAGCTTCATTATAACTCGCAGCATTCTCAGACAAACACTTGTCTTTATCCGGACACATTTTCCCCACAAATACAACATGCTAATGTTTTTAGCACAAGTCTATGGCATTTTACATTGTATACATTAGCTTAGCAGCTAGCAGACTTTTCCTCTGTTCATATAAAACCAGGGACAACAGCAACATTTACCAAAGGTAAAGTTAAAAGTTCTGCTCCATTACAGCACACAAGGTTCACTGACAAAACAACTGTCTTTGAGGGAACAACTTTCCACTGAGGGAAATGGTTTCAGCTTACAGAAATAGACAGGAGGTCTGTGTCGCTGTGACGTGTAGTTACATTTCTGGGGAGGTGCACGTCAGGCTACGGTGTAGGCTCTGTGCAAGAAGTAAGTTACTGACCCAGTTTTCATTTTTTTTGGTGAAATGATCCTTTAGCTAAGCACACCATTTTTAATTCCAACTGTTAAGCAACAATATAAGGTTTTAGTCAGGTCATAGTTTTTTCACCTCCTGTGTCCAGGAAATATTGTGTAGTGCATTTTGAGCACATGGTATTTGTCACGTAGATGGTACGAGCTAGTCTCAGGAGCGTCATACTGAACACAAGGAGGTGAAACTGCCCGTCTTGTTATCAAAAACAATTTAGTTAGAAAGTCTTTTGCCAAGAGGATGTTGTATTCCTCTGAGGTTTCATGATGCATTCTCCTTTGCCTTACTGAAAAACCCTGAACGGCTGTGAAGAGGAGTAAAGCACCTCCGTAATGGCCGATACATCCCCTCTGTGATCATTAAATTGCTCCATGTGAATTCCTCTTTAGTTCTTTTTTTTTGTTTCTGTTTTTCCATTGACAGCCTGACCTTCCATCTCACCTAAATATTGAGATTTCCTGACTTGCAGCACAGACAATGACCAGTGTCTTTGGCCGCCTTCGCTCACTAGCAGTGCCATCATGCTTTGGTGATTGTGGGAATGTATCGCTAAACGCCCACACACATGCACACGCACACATTTAGAGCAGTCTGCAGTGACTATGCCATCGAAGCATACATATGTGTACATCTGTGGAAGTCATCAGTTAAGACCTCATGAGTAGTGCAATACTTCTTTTTTTTGTTTTCTTTTACACAAATCACATCTTAGCACTTTTAAATAACGATTTTCAATGTGCTCTGAGATTAGTCATCGTAGAGATAGGATGCAACAACACCTAAAACTTAATTCTGTAGGTCTACATGTGATGCTGGGATAATTGTTAAATTTAGTGATGCTAAAAACACATCGTGACAATTTGATCTCACTGTAAACATCTGTGTAGAGCTTTATTGGGACGAATCAAGAGGATTTTACAGGGACGCCAGAAATGAATGATAGACTAGCTGAATAAGCGTGCACAACCCTGTGCCTACACCCTTTAGAGTCCGTCTTGGGTGACTGAGAGTCTGAAGTGTATTTTTCATTCGTATTGTGTTACTTTTAAGTTCTACAGACTGTGGTTGTAATCCATGCTTTCATCTGGTCCCAGTATCTTGCCATTATTATAGAGTACATGTACAAAACCTGAGTGTCTGTGTGTCATACGTTGCATTATGTTGTTGCTGGGTGAAAAAAAAACGTGTTCTTTGCTACAGAATTCATATTGAATTTGCTTGTAGTGAAGCATTTTTTAAGTCTGCCATCCTCATGCACTCTGATTTTAGAATTATTTTTTTCCTTTCAATGACGGACGCAAAATGTGCCCTGTTTTATTTTTCTATTATTGTATTCAACAACTGTTTTCATACGATTACCCAGGATATACAGTTATCTACATTAATTTTATATTTGTTCTATTATAACCTGTTACTTTATCATTCGTATGACTATTGAATCAAGCTATACTGTATTAAATACAAACTATGTCAACATATACGTCTGTTACGGTGGGTGTTCTTTGGCTTACAACACTGATTTATTGAGTGTGTGTGATGTTTGCTGAGTTCTAATCAAGAGTTTGTTGATTATGTTAAGTGTCTCATATACTACCATACATTTATTAAAACTCCTCTAAAAGCAGAGTGTGTAAAAAAGAATAATAAAACGTGAAGAAAGGATGCACTGATATAGGTAAAGATATGTAGTTAAAGTGATAACAGACTTTTCAACTTTTCCCCCGTAGCGTTTCCATGTGGTGTTACTGTTGGCGCCGCTGTCGCAAAGACAACAGGATCACTTTCCATTTTCCACAGTCAAGCAGCTACCACAGTTTCCACAGGTACTTGGGTTGTTCCACCATCTGCCATTTCTGCCACTAAGGATAGTAACTTAACAGAACTTACACTGATACTCTTTGGTACATGGAGTTAGCTGCCTATAGCTACTTGGGAAAACAAAAGCACTATCCTCTTCCTGTTTTGGTTGCACAATGCTTTATACACTTTCTTAGCAGTGTAAATTGAGTCTTCATTTTCCCGGGGGTTTCTACCCATTGGCAGACAGAATTGAGCCTTTGCTAAGTCCCGCCCTCGGACGCAGACTGGCCAATCATAACGTAGCGTCGGGCTGGCTCACACCAGGGTCTGTCAACAACACAGCTGTGCTCCATTGACTCTAATGCAGTCGTTTCAGATTTCCTTCATTTTCAGGCTGGTTTTGTGGATTTGGAGCTAAATGTTGTGCCTGGGGCACGTCGTGTATTAATGATACTCGTTACCTGGAGAGGTTGGAAAAAGATATACGTTTCTTCCCTGTTCCAAAACCAAAATCAAACCCTGAAAAGTGTAGGGTTGGCTAGCTAGCTACTGAAGATATAGCCTACTGAATGTTGCCTACAGTGGAAAAAAAGACCGACCCTGCTGTACAGGAATCAGTGAAGGCGATGCATCACTTAAAGCTGCTGATAAACACCTACAGGTCGCACGAAACACCTTCATTAAGTTCGTAAAGAGGTGATGGAAACACAGCGATGACTCGAAACATCCCAACTTGTTTTATTGTTTGTAGGTCTCTCACAATGGTCCCCAGTGGTCTGCAGCTTGGCAGTTCTCTTGCCTTCGTGTCATGCCATCCACCAGCCACCATCCCCTCCACCTGAAAACTGACAATGCCAACATTTTCCTCTGATCAACTGGGTTTTACTTTACTGTTTTGGTTCACTCTCACCACTCTTAACTTCATTTACAGCTGCAACAGGCAACTTTTTCGGCAGAAAGGCTCTAAAAGCTGCATATTTCTCTCGAGTTGGTGGAGACCAAAACAGAGCAAAAAGGAGTGAATATTGGACTTCTATTTGTCACACATCTAAAATCATGACTCCAAATGAATTATCTTGTGTCAATGGACAACTGTTGGCTAACACCTTCACCTTAACTTTATGAAGTGATAATGTTGAGTTTAACTCTTGCTCCGCTGCTCCCAAACAGCCAAACAAATCAATGAGTGCAGGCTTAAATAATTAGATCAGTGGAGATTGTCATTTCAGGCTCTGCATAGTTGAGACAGTGGATTTCAAACTGTCGACACATCCTACACTGAATCTAACCTATAAACCAAATGCATCTCACATTACAAGGCTTGGTAATGATTCCCAGTCATCTCAGCCGACAGCTGAAGGTCCAAACATCTCTTTTCTCTTGAAACACAGAGCCGGTAGTTTCAGTATCACTCCTACACTGCTGCACACACTCAACAAATACGGTGAACTTAGCTCGACTGTGGGGTTTGCCACCACAACGAAGGGAGAAGGGAATACCCACAACACGATGTGTACTCCCAATACGTTGAAACACTGCAGCAGAGAAGCATGCTGGGAGCTCAGTTCAGCAGTGTGTGGGTTTGTCTTTCTCAACAATGCTTATTTTTGGGTGTGGTAGGATGTCCCCAGGGCAAATTATTGCTCTCTGTATGTTGCAGCATAAAGCTCATTGAGAGGGAGATTCAGTGTGTGCATGTGTTCATCTCATTTTACACTGAAGCTTTTTGTCAACACTGTTTTCTGTCCTTAGCAACATTTTAGTATGAATTTCTTAAACTTTAATGATGATGTCTTAATGGAGCACCTTTAAAAGATCACTGTGATCCTGTATTACACATGTCACTGCTTCACAGGCCCTCAGTCCTACACCTGATTATATGGTCATATGGACTAAAACAGAACGATTCATTTGAGATCCGAGACCTCTAATCATCCTCTTCACCACATCAAACAAAGATGGTGACACCAAGAAAACAAACCTTGAATCAAGATCTCTGTTTTTTGTTCCTACTGTTCAGCATTTTACTGCATCAACTGAGGACCGAGTGCACAGAGAAAGTTTGGACAACTATCAAACTGAACATTTAACACAAGTTAATGTAATAGTTTTTAACTTAAAGTGTCATGAATTCTTCATCTTGAGAATTTCGACAAATATAAAAAGTTAAACAGCATTTCTCTTGGACAAATCTGCTGTGGACAAGTCTCCCTCCATGAAGTATCAGTGTTTGGATCTGCAGGAAAGGAAGTTTTCGGCCTTCTGAACATGAATGGAGCTGCTGCATCAAGTATGAAATTAGAGTCCTGGGGCTGATTGCACAAAACACCTCAAGACTTTCCTTAAAGTCCTAGTTAAGGTTTCTTCAAAGTAAAATCAGTTGCACAAAACACCCTGAAGTCTTCTCCTTAAGATGTTCACTTAAGTATTTATGGTTTCCTCCTTGCATTTGTCTTATACTTGAGGAATCCGTAGACCTTAAGTTCATGGGCCAAATAAAGGCAAATTTGATCGCAGGTGGGCCAGACCAGACTAGTAAATGGCTCGTTGTTTTTGGCCTCGTGCTCATACAGTGTATCTTGTAGCTTAAGTCTAACCAAAGCCTTTGAATATGTTTTTGTACCACATTAAATTCGCAACCTCTTCATTCAAGTTACCACACTACAAGAGAGACCTAATTCAACACATCAGGTCAAGAGTCGTAGTCATCAATTTGAATTAAAGCTCAAGATGCTTTTTAGTAGCATCAA